AGTCAATCTAGTTTTTAAAAGTCTAGAGACTGATTTATTTCTAAGCATCTGAAATGTACAAGAAATCTGAGCTACATAATATGTCCAAATAGGCAAGACAAAGGATATGAACTTTATGTGAAAATAAGAGATACATTTCATAAGATCATAAAAGCAACAATTAATATTCCTTCCTTATTCACTACATAAAAATAACTTTCCTGTTATCATTTCTTTGGAAACACTGCCAAATTTTTAGAACAGAACAAAAACATATTGTGAAATATCCTAGCTTCTAAAACCTGAAATCTAACTTCTCAAAACCTTTATTAACACAATTATAAGGGTTTTAAATATCAAGAGGGAAATCTAAGATCTTGAAAACTCCATCTTTTCATACCCTCAGAAATTTTATACTATGTCTTTTTAAATTAAGACTCGAGTTAATGCTAATTATAATGTAGCTTGGACTTAAAATGTACAATTTACATTTTTTTTATTCTTTCTATATTTTGTTTTAGGACTTTTCTCTGAGCTGTGCATGCTTACAGCCAAGAGATACAGTAGGCATTTTAAATCCAACATGCAAACACCTGACTTCCTATAACAAAAAGTGGCTGTTGAGTCAGTTCTAACTCATGGCAAGCCATGTGTGTCCCAGCAGAGGTGTTCCATTGAGTTATCGGTGGCTGATCTGTCAATACTAGACTCCTAAACTTTTCTGCCACTGTCCCTGAAAGCAGAGTAGAAGTACCAAACCTTCATACCCTTCACACTTTAACTGTCTGCACCACCCAAAGACTCTTGTACCAACACTCTCCATGCACCCCAACTCCCTACAAACAAATGGTCCATTATCAAGTTGGCAAAGAATAGCACCAGCAGCATACATCCAACTGCAAAATCCAGAAAGACAGAAGCCGTGCACCCTTTCGTGTCTCTTACCTCCATAGCCACATCACCGACTATAGACAACTTTGCTTCATTCACGTTTCTCTGTCTCCATCACCTCTCCCCAACCCATCTTCACTCCCCAAGTAAAATATCAGCCATTCCCTCCTGATCCCACCTGCCATTTCCCCATTATTAACTGGATTTTGAGTAGGTATGTGTGGTAGAAAATAAAAACACGAACTCAAGAGGAGCACCCTTCTTCTAAACATCTTAAAATCTTTCAGTGCCTTCCCATTAGTCATTGGCAAAAAGATGATCTGCCTTTTAATACCCTGCAAATCCTTGCATTGTCCAGCCTTTGCTATATATTTCCAACATCCATTTTCCCTCGTCCTCCACCGCAGTCTAGCACTCTAGTCACACTGAAGTATTTCCAATCCTTGAACTTTTCCAGGCCACTTCTCTGCATATATTGTTTCTTGTGTTATTCATGTTTCTCTCCTAACCCACTTCCATTTCTTCTTTCTATGAATCCCTACTTATTCTCTCCTAAGAGAACTTCCCTAGACACACCTAAGTCAATTCCTCCTATTATAGCCTCTTAATGAAAAGCATATGCTACAGATTTTAATGATGTCTATATGGTTATGTGACTTAGGACTCTTCTTCTCCCTGGACTCTAAACTAAATGAAAGTGGCATCCATATGGTATCTCTGTGCCTGGCAGAGAGGTTAACAACCAAGAGATAATGCAAAGTAAAATAAAAATGAATGAATGAGTTTGAGGACAGTCTTTTTTTTTTTCAAAGAAACATTCTGTCTCTATCAAAACATATATCAAGTTGTATTACTGAGAAAAAACATTCAAAATTATTATTTCTTAGCACCCAAACAAAAACGATTCTTTAAAAAATACTACATTCTTAAGGAATGCTGAAGAAAATTAATATTGGGATCTAGAAGTTTTAGATAATAGCTTAACCAAAAGAGTCCTTTGCCTTTGTGCTTGATTTGAGAACTTTGATTTTTGTATGACACCTGACATGGTGAAAGCACGTCCACTCTGTTGTTTTGTCAATTCTCTTCACAGTTCTCTGTAGATACTGTAGCCTGTGAAGTTGACTCTCAGTGTCATTGAAACCTTTCTCTTCAACCTGGGGAATCATGGCCCTTTGCTTCTAACCAACTTCTAAATAAACCCTTGACTGTTAAAAAAAAAATACTACATTCTGTTTTAATACTTAAATGAAACAATTTATTCTCGCTGAGGTTCAATAAATAGAATAGAAGGTGGTGAATAATTATTAAATAAAAGCAATGGCATGTTACAAAGTTTCACAATTTAAAATATGCCTCCAGATCCATAATCTTGTGTGGACATCATATAAAAATGTAGTGAACACCTGCAGTTATTATCCTCAGTCCCCAGTGCAGTGGGTTGGATCAGAGAGGATCAGCATTTGACCTCCTATGAACTTTCTGCCAAATTACCATCTTTGAGCATATTTTGATGATACAAACATGACAACTATTTCTAATGGGGCCATATCAAAATCCAAGATGTATGTGTTGGTGCTGCACAATATTCTCACAGCTGTCCACAACCCATATGCATCTTTTACCCTAGAAAGCTCTCACTAGACATCCTCAAAATGAAAAATCCAAGCTCAACTTCCTGAGTTTTTCTTCACTGGGTCAAGACAGCTCATTAAAACTCGTCTTATTTCTTGCAATGAATTTTAGAAACTGCCTTCCCCATAAGAAACTGCTTTATTGCTACATCTCTTCCCATGAATCCAGACATTCAGCACTTCAAACAATGACTCTTTCATAATAGTCACTGCATGTTGAGTGAATATAATATGTGATAGTAAATGAAAGAACTAGT